TTATATTTATATTTAACTATCATTTTAGATTTTTAACTATTATTCAATTTATATTTATATTTAACTATCATTTTAGATTTTAACTATTATTTATTCTACATTTATGCTCCCAGGGGCCGTACATTTTTGGAGTGGAGAGGAAACTTTGTATTACAATGCATATATGCACTTCTTTAATTCACACTGATAAAATATTTTTAAATATTACTATATATTTTTCATAGTAGTATTTAAGAATCTATTTGTCATGTATTTTCGATTTCAACTATTATTTATTTCATATTTATATTAACACATTGAGGACGGTATGCTCTGATAAACGTATAGCTTGTATTTTCTCGTATTTTTTTAATATAATTGAATATATTCAGTGAAGAAAGGGTTCGAGAGAATGTATAGCATTTAACAAGTGTATTATTTTACTAATAATTAAAATTATTAATTATTTCTCATTTTAGAGGTATTTCATTAAATGGAAATACTCTCTGGTAACGTTTCTTAGTGCGGTACGTTGGGAAACAATTTTTCTACTTCTTGAGAAATTATACAACATTGTAATATATAATTATATGTTATATATAATATTATATAATATAAATCATATATAACGTTGCTCTGTCCCTTACGACGTGAAAAATAATTCGTTCCCCGGTCCGCCACGTTGATTCACACGAGATCCACAATGTGTTAATTCTAATCGTGGCAGAGAGTCCAGAGAAGAGAGGAGAGAAGAAGGGAAGAATTGGTCGTCTCGCGTATCCGGACGAAATTCCAGCGTCGAGGAATAATTCGCTGGAATAAATAGGTCGGTAGGATAGCGATAGGTTGGTGGCAGGCGAAGCGTGGCGGATCGATCCTTATCGTTAGCTGTGCCCCGCTCGTTATGTTACGCTCGATATGTGCAATACGAGCACGACACGGAAGTGCGTGGCTCGATACGTGAGCGCGTTCCGTTGGCGACAAAGTGAAACGACAGTGAAACGAGTCAGGCTCGATTTGGATCGATTGTGCTGGCAGGTCGATGTCTGGCCGTTATCTTTCGAACGAACAGAGGATAGATAGAAAAGGAAAAGGAAAGGAAACGAAAGGAAAGGAAAGGAAAGGAAAGGAAGAAGGAAGCAGAGGTAGATATACGAGAGAGTACAAAGAGGAAATGTTTCTGGGACGGAAAAGGCGGGCGCCATTCGATCGAATTCGAGCGTCCCGTATATCTCCCGGGCGTGCCGAGTTCTCGAGAGGCTTTGCAAGTAGGTCTGGCACGTTTCCACCCCGTATTAACCCAATTCCATCGAGCACCCTCGACGCAGGAGAATGCGCGCGGCCGTCGCCTCGCCTCGCCGCCCCCTCGCGTCGCCTCGTCTCTCCTCGGCTGTACACACGCATTCACGCAGCTGGCCAATTCCAACCTGGAGATTCGAATTGGAATTTGCTCTCGTCAGAAGCAAGAAGAAGTCTAGTTTATGCGAATCATCCCGAATTACGTGTAATCACGTATCGAGTGTCTGTTGACTCCTTTCTGAAATTCGTTCGTTCCTCTTGGATCTGGTTGTTACAGCTTTTCACTCTTGGGGGTCTGGGGGTCAGACGTTGTAACGTTATCACATCGCGTCACATTAGAAATATTCATAAGTAATGTCGTTTGCTTCGAATTTAATAAACNTTAAATACATTGGTATTTGTTTGTTGCGTGTTTATTGTTAAATTATACTGTACAGATTGAAACTGCGTCAACTCTCGAATGAAATAAAATTTTGTATCAGTATCAAAAAACGACGTTACCAATGGGTAACCCCTGGATACAACACCAAACGTATACGTTCGTTATAATTATCAGCAACTTGTAAAAAGAGAAAGTCCGAGCTATTGGGTAGATTTAAGTACGATGTGTCCTCAAAAGGGTTAATTTGGCCGCGTCATTGCCCCTTCTTTACATTTCCCCTTACTCGTTACTCGCCATGGTGGCGATCGAATTCCAGAGTTGGACACATTTTGTTCAAACAACGAATAACGAATAAATCTGTCAAATTTATTCGCAAATAGCGAATAACGATTTCATTCGAGGAAAAATTATTCGTTACTTACGAATAACGATTTTATTCGAACAAAGATTATTCGAACATGACTTTATTCGTTACGCGGAGTACAACGATGAGTAAATGTAGCCGTACATTGCCGAATTGATTATTTAGGGGTTTCACAAGAAACTGCTTCCGTTTATTTGTAATTTTAGCACATTTTAGAATATATTTCGCGGCAACGGAACAAATAAAAGAAAAGAAATAAAATAAAATTAAAAGTTTTTCAAAAAAACACCAAGGAATTTATCATTTTGCAATAATTTAACAGCAAGTGCATCTATTGTGTTTTCGTCGAGCATTATTCGTCATCGCTTAGAAATAATTAACCTCTTGCCACGTGATGACGTGCCACGCATGTCGAGAATTCTTTGCCCCAAAATTGCAATATTTTCTCAGTTTTAAGTATATTTAAATATAATTCAGGCAAAACAAGCGATAAATTTATAACTTCTTAACAATTTCTATCTATCTATTGTGATATCATACCGACGAATTTGAAAAGAAAGCGACGATTTATTGTATACGGTTTGGTCACTCGTTATGGTCCGCAATCAGTTGCCACTGGTTAACCTCTTGCGTTGGAATGACGTGCCACGCACGTTGAGAATTTTTTGTCCCAAAATTACAATATTTTCTGAGTTTTAAGTATATTTACATATAACTCGGGCACAACAAGTAATAAATTTATTACTTCTCAATAATTTCTATCCAGTGAAATACAAGTTCAAAAGAAAGTTCAAAAAGAAAGCGACGTGTTATTGTGTACGGTTATGATTCGCAGTCAGTGGCCAACGCAAGTGGTTAACCTCTTACGTCGAAAATTTTTTGTCCCGAAATTGCAATATTTTCTCAGTTTTAAGTATATTTAAGTAT